AAAGGAGTCCGTCTTGGCACCCCGTATGAATGAGCTGTACGAGTTTACTCCAAACCCACCGTCGAGAGAAGCCCTCCTGGCAGAGTTGGACGAGGCGGTCGGCTTGAGCCCGAAGTACTTGTCGGCGCCTAAGCAGGGGGATAGGAGGTCGATCGACTACTGTACCCTGCTCTACCTAGAGGTAGCTATACAGCTCCCCAGAGGTATCGACAAATGGGATCCAACACTACACCCACTAGTGGCAGTGGTGTGTATATTGCGAGACCAGAGGCAAACCCCTCAGGAACGCACTTGGGTTGGTGTGATCGGAGACCTCCTCAAGGAGGAAGATGTCATTGCCATTGACCCTCTGGCCACCGTCGATCATCTCTCCTGCGAGTCTGAGCTCATACTCGCCTTGGACCGAATCTTCACCCAATTCGACCCAACAGTGGTCATCAGCTGGGACGCCTCCCGGAGGGGCATCGTCTTCATAGCCGAACGCGCCCGAGCCCTTGGCCTGCCCGGTGCCGAGAGTATGTTCCATCGAGTGTTCGTGCCTCCTGTCCCTGGACCCTTGGGGCCGTCGACTCTCTATGGGAGGATCACATTAGACCTGTGGCAGACGCTACGGCAAGAGGACTCCCTCAAGTTGGCCACCACGACACTACACGGTGCAGCTAAGCAGCTGCTCGGCCTCACTCTACCGAGGATACCAATGTGGTTGCTGCAGGAGTGGTGGACAGATGCATCGTGCTGTATCGATGCCTTCAAGTACACAGTCAGACTCTGCACCCTGGGTCTACAACTACTCGATGCTAGTGCTCTGCTGAGTCGGGCTTCTGAGATGGCCTCTGTATTGGGCATGCCTGATGTCGAAGAGGTAGACTACACTCGAGAGATGAGTACTCCAGTTCCCATGTTGTAGGTACTCACCCGAGGCAGCCAGTATAGAGTGGAGTGCATCCTCCATCGTGCTGCTTCCAGGACGGGCTTTGGTCTGGTCTCATCATCGAAGGCTCAGGTGGGCACATATACGATGGAGGCTTTTGAGGAGCTCTTCCTGCAGGTCAAAGCACAACCGGCATTGGAAGGTGTCCCGATGGTGCTAGAGCCGAGGTCGGGATACTACCGCACGCCCACCATAATTCTAGATTTCCAGAGTCTCTATCCAAGCATCATCATAGCCTATAACATGTGTTTTTCCACTTGTCTAGGCAGAGTTGAGCATCAGGACCTCACTGTTGCCCTCGGCACACAACGAGACAAGCCATATACAGTAACCATGGGTGGGCTCATTTAGATGCTCAGTAATCATGGCGTCGATAAACAGTCGGCTTGACGTCCA